CCGATCAGCATATCTCCCCTTCTACTGGGAGTAGAGAGTCGTCCATGTAGTCCGTAGGGTTTTGAAAGGCTATTTTGGTACCTGTCCGAAGCCTGTATCTCTAACCGTTTAGGAGATATCGAAGTTTAAAGTTTTCCAACCTTTCTCCGACGATATCTCCGCTTCTACTGGGAGTAGAGAGTCGTCCATGTAGTCCAAAATGTAGGGTTTTGAAAGGGCTTTAATTTGGTACCACTCCGAAGCCTGTATCTCTAACCGTTTAGGAGATATCGAAGGTTAAAGTTTTTCCAGCCTTTCTCCGTCGATATCCAGCCTTCCTCCGTCGATATCTCCGCTTCTACTGGGAGTAGAGAGTCTTCCATGTAGTCGAAAATGTAGGGTTTTGAGAGGACTTTATTTTGGTGCCAGACCGAGGCCTGTATCTCTAACCGTTTAGGAGATATCGAAGGTTAAAGTTTTCCAACCTTTCTCCGTTGATATCTCCGCTTCTACTGGGAGTAGAGAGTCGCCATTTACGGGAAAATGTAGGGTTTTGAAAGGACTATATTTTGGTGCAAGAAACAGGCCTGTATCTCTAGCCGTTTTGGTGATATCGAAGGATAAAATTTTCCAACCTTTCACCGTTGATATCTCCGCTTCTACTGGGAGTTGAGCGTCGAAATTTATCACAAATGATTCCACATATCTGGAAACGTGACATATCGCTGCCGGCGTCCTGCTTCCCGGTTGCTGGAGTCCTCCGGATTTCATTCACTCACGTTTGTAATGTCGGTACTCGGGCGATTCGACCGTGTAGTTAATCAACGCAATGCCGACGCGATGCCGATTGAGTATCTCGAGGACCGACGAGATACATTTCTTTCAATTACATGAGACGGGAGTGACGAGCGCGTCGCGCACGACTGCTGTTGATGGAATGAGGTCGAATACACAAAGTGCGCGAGTATTATAACACGAAGGGCGAAAAGTGTCGTCACTCGCGAGCCGATAAACACAATCGGCGCGATGTAAATATTGCGGTCCTCGGCGGCGGTTGAAGCAAGAGAGACTTGCCCTTGGGCGTCTCTTCTTTTCTCGAAGCTTCCGAAACATCGGAGGGAATGCTAGGAGGCCTTTCAACTGTACGCGACATTGGTGCACTCTATTGATTACTGAAAATAAAGAAAATTACTCTGTCGAAGCATCGGACATTTGTTAGCTTTATGTTAATTAAAGAGGAATGTGTACGATTAGAAAATGTGTTAGCAACTAATTGTACAGAGTGTCAAAGTTGTTGTGACGCCGTTTTCGGAAAATAATTAAAGATCATGGTAGCGTTAAAGAGAGGGATTTCATCCCATGCGAATTTTGTCTCGTTCATATTAAATGTTAGTCCTGTATAAAATGTCGTATTTAAAAGTGTTGTTTCTCATTCACGAGATTTTGTCGTGAATTCTGCTTTGCGGAAATCTCAGATTGGATCACGGGCCAATACTTTTCAATGCTACGGGGAATAGAACGTGAAAATCTTGTATGCCTCTGAATCCAAAAACAATTAGGAGAAGAAGTGAATGCTTTTCAATACGAAAGTTTGCATTTGAAAATTATAGATTGCGATTGAGTACAAGGCATACTTGAAATGAATTGAATCCTTTTTAATGTGAAGCATTCACCACTGCCATCTCGCATTTAGCGCGGTGAAATTTAATGAGAACTAATACTCTTTAGTCCCTTTCTTCGGATCAGAAAGCAGAATTCAGATGTCAATATTCAAAATGTCAATACTTTTTAATATGTTTCGGTTCGGCATTTTATACAGGGAGATTATCCGCTGCGGACAATAACTCTTCTACTTTTCATCTAATATTCAATGATGATAAATAACATTTAATTGCATTCGTTTGGCTTTTTTTATTTCGAAAAAAATATATACCAGGGTGAGATTTCACCCATGACAACATCAACGTGATTTTCTTTGATGTTTTTTTTAAAAGTTCAAATATTTCGTCGACTCGCGAGATATTTATAATCAGAGTCTCGTCGCGTTAATTAACACGTGCTCCTCCGAGCGGATCGAATGCTCACCGACGGCCACTGTCAGTGTCACGAACGAATGTCCGGAGCGGACGGGATGCTGAATTGAGAAGCAGGACGAAGGGAACGGGACGCGGGCATCATACGATACATCATGCGTCTCCAGACATGTCAAATCGTTTATTATAGTGGAGACTTTGATACAGCAACATGTATTCGAAGATTTAACATTTAATACGTACTTTTATTTTTTCTGCTCCTCTCTCTCCTCCGCCCCTCCGCTTTTTTAGACCTCCGGGCATAGTCTGGTATAGAGATAACAAGAGATGGTGGTTGCAGCACGAACATAAACCGCCTGAAAATGGATGTAGCACGGACTTCCACCACATGCAGATTTTACCACCGAGACCTGAAAGTGGATGGTAGCATCGTAGTTCCCCTCTCAAAATGAATGCAGATGGCGTCCTTTCCCAGTGCGGAAAGTCGGTGTCGCAGAAAATGTCGTATTGGCCGCTTTCAGGTTTCTCTCTGTTGGAACGCAGCCAGTGCGGACGGATTTTTATAGTCGCGTAAAAACGTGCACGAAGAGACCCACCAATCGCGCGTCTGATACAGACGCGTCACAGTACGGTGCTTTTAAATTAATGAATTACGCTCTGGTAGGAGAAAGGGGAGAGAAGTGCGATGTTGTAGAAAGTGCAGTGAGAGCAAATGGAACTGTCGCTGGAAGAAGGAAGAAAAGATGCAGGAATAGAAAGTGCAGCCGAGGGTGTTGCAGGCGTGTTATCACTTTTGACTCGTATTTTTCAACCGCCTGAAATACGCGACGTGTTATCGACTAGTCCTCTTATCGATATCTCGCTTTGGCGATGCACTTGCGATTCAAACGATCTCTTATGAACTGAATTCCGTAATATTTATTTTGACGAACAACGTAACAGACAACGAATTCTGGTAAAGTATGAAAACGCAAGAAAATTGCTCTTTAAAATTATACAAATATATGTAAATATGTTAACGAGTTGACATTCATTCTGATGGCTATTCGTGGGAGATGATTATAAAACTACATGACTGACGAAGTCACCGCGGAGTGAAATTTGACGATTTTGTAACAAACTGTGTTTTAATCTGTCGATACATTTACAATATACATTTACATTATATATGTATATATTTATAAGTTTCAATATGCTGCTTTCTGTCAATGCTTCAGATTCTTCTCAGCGATAAAGTTGAGTTAAATGTGTATGATGATAGCGGGCGTGTTACGGTATATTTCGTCTTTGTTTCGCGCATGCTTGTACACATGTATATATATATATATATGTATATATATATATTCGTGTGTGATTGTGTGTTTACTATATGCGCATGCTTTCTTTTCTCTTTTTCTTCTTCTTTTTCACTCATTTTCTCCCTTTTTTTCCCAGCATGTTTCGCTCCTCTCAGTCACTTTCCAGTCATAACTCATCATTCACACAATCCTGCGTCTTGTAGATATCACTTTACATCGAGCACATTGTCTATGCGAGATATGTGTTTTATATATACAAAGAAAGCCTAACTTATGTGCTATACTTACATCGCTAGGTAATCTACATAACGTACACCAGTAATGATGTTCTTCACCATGTTAACGATATTCGACGACGTCTCAATTATTAACATCTCGATATTAATATGGCGATCAACTACCGCGAAGATTTACCCACTCATGGTAAACCTTCAACGCATTGTTAATCGGACATATCAATCGCTTGCTGCTCGAACGTCATCGCAGGCAGGCAATAATTATCTTTCACCCGTGTGTGGTTCAACGCACGTCTTGCGATGTCCTTGAAGTTGACACCAAGATAACATTGACGTTACTCGATGTTTCAAGTGAAACTGATCAAATCGGCTCGTTAATGATCGAAATGACCGGCGAATCTCGCTAATATCGCACGGAACACCGCTACAGCAACAAAGTGCGTCCGATATATTTATACATAAATCTTCTCGCCTCTGCAGAATTTTCGCGTACATCTCTAATGGTCGACGATTAATTTTCTAAAGATCGAAAGAACTATGGGAAACAAAATCAACGTGAAATCGACGGCTAAGATGACAGTCAGCGAATCATGGACCCGAACCGCGCGTAGCTATTGGGACCGTCACTAATTAACGGTAAATCGAATATTGCATACTTTTATGTCCCGACACACACACACACACACACACACACACACACACACACACACACACACACACACACACACACACACACACACACACACACACACACACACACACACACACACACACACACACACACACACCACCACGCACACACGCACGCACGCACGCCGCCGCGCGCGCGCACGCACGCACACACGCACGCACACACACACACACGCACGCACACACACACACATACACACGCGCGCGCACACACACATACACACACACACACACACCGACAAGTAAACGATATCGCGCGCTCGCTAACACGGAGGAACTTTTGATAGAAGAAGTGCAATCGACTTATTCTCGGCGCTAGCGACCTCGCCTTAGAGCTATCAAAAAACCTGCCGGCTATAGTCTCTCATTTTAGAAAACTATCAAAAATTCCTACATCGAAAGTAGGCTTTATTTACATATGGCTACATATAACGTCGCTTTCCTTTCCGTTTCACCGTTCTCGTCTCATCATCGAAGCTAAAGACTTCCTCTCTTTTAGTGTAAAAATGCCAAAGCTCGCTCGTCGTTTGCTCGTAAAAGGCTAGTCGAGCGGAGGGCAAGTTTAAAGAAACTTACAACAACCACCATCTAATTCCCAGACAATGTCGCGACAATGTACGTCTAAATACGACGACCAGAATTGCGTAAAAAACGATAAAAAAGAAAACCTAGACAAGTCGCGAGACAGGAGGATATATCCTTTCCGAAAGAAAGTGAAAACGTCCAAGTAAAAAGGGCGTACCGTTGTTTCTTTTTTCTTTCCTACGCGCATCCGTCAACAGACACCCGGCTATTTGGTATAACGCGGAGCTGGGCCATCAGTTGTCCTTCCAGCTCGTTCTCCGCCGCTCGCGTCACATCACGACCTGTCGGCGGAAGAAGGGAAGCCACAGAGAGCCGATATCCCGTCGGCTCCTGAAGGCGACTCTCCACTTCGTGGAGCTCACAGCGATTCAGTTAGTCACGGCTAAAGCCAAGACGGTCGGTGATGATGCGGTGGCGGCTGAAGAGCGTAGAGAGAATGTATGTACTGTTGATAAGCGGTCGGGTCCATGGCCAAGTTAGGCCCATGCGGCGTCACGTAAGCGGAGACCGGCGGGCCGTAGGCCGCCGCTGCCCTCTGAGCGGCGGCTGCCGAGTGGAGGAACGGATGGGGCGCGTAGTTCCTGGGCGGCTGATTGGCGAGCTTGTTGCAGGCGGACTGAGAGGCGTCCGTGACCGGCGGCACCGACTGCTGCTGTTGCTGCTGCTGCTGTTGCTGTTGCTGCTGCTGCTGCTGCTGCCGCAAGGCCATGTTGTAGTAGCTGGTCGGATTGCGGAACTCGTCCAGGAAGGCGAACGCCGCCGCGGCGGTGGCGTCCTTGTCGTAGAACGGCGCGCTGCCGCTCGTGCTCGTGGACGCGGCGAAGTTGAAGGCACTGCCAGCGGCCGGCACCACCGCGGCGGCGCTCTTCAAGCCGATGGAGTCGGCAGACGCGGCCGCGTACTGCGGGAACGCGGGGATACCGGGCTGCTGGTCGGCTCCGACGGTGGATGTGACGGTGGCCGCCGCCGAGACGCTGGTCGCGGCCGCGTTCTGCTGCTCCTGTTGCTGTTGTTGCTGCTGCTGCTGCTGCTGCTGTTGTTGCTGCTGCTTGCTCTTCCTGCTCTTCTTCGGCTTGGACGACGTCGTGGAGGTGGACCCGGCGTTGTCGGCCCCTCGACGCGCCGACATCGCCAGGATACCTTGGCTGCCCTTGGCTGCGTTCTGCAGGCTCTGCAGCAGATTCAGATCCAGCTCGGCCGCGCCGGACGCAGCGCCCCGCCCGTAAGCGAGGTGCTCCGGCTTCGTCGCCGGCGGCCGCGGGATCGTCAGCAACTGCTGCTGCTCCTTGCTCGGCCGGCCCACCAGGCCGAGGCTCAGTCGTGCGTACGCTGGATTCGACGCCACCGAGTCGGCCAGACTGCCGACGTACGTGGCGTCGAACTGGCTGGCCGAGACTGTGTCTGGTTGCGGCAAGGCCATCATCGGCTCGAACTCGAACTGCTCCTGAGCCGAGCGCGTTGCCGCGCTCTCCTGTGGTAGACTTCGCGAGCCGCCGGAATCACCGGACGACGGCTCGTTATACACGCGCTTCTTCACCGGTGGCAAGTTGCCGCTGGCCGCCGCAGGACTGCTGGTGCCGCCGCTACCGCCGGCGCCAGCGCCGCTGCCGCTGGCGGGCTTGGCGCCGGTGTCGAAGTAGTGAGGACTAGCGTACACCGGTCTCGAGTTCGGCAGAGGGTAGCCGGATGGCTGGAAACCGCTCTGGTACAGCGACTCGTGCGCCGTCAGGTTCTGCTGGAATGTTAACAGCTGCGTTTGGTCCTGCGCCACCAGCTGCTCCCCGCTGCTGGACGTCTTGTTGAGGAAGCCGCGTGGCTGCGCGTACTTCTGCGCGTTCAAGCTGTCGCTGATCTCGGTGAAGCCGACTCGCTCTTGCGGCGCGCTCGTAGACTGCTGTGTCTGTTCTGAACAACCGTGCCGTGAAGCGGACCTCTGGAGCTCGATATTGGGGAAGCTGTTGGGGTATGTCGGTGGTGGTGGCGGCGGCGGGTATTGGCCCGGGGTCGACTGGTAGATCTGGTGGTTCGCGTTGAGGTTCAGCGACGACTCCGACTGGACGGGGAAGTTTCTCTGCTGCTCGCCCGACGTCGCGGCCTTCTCGTTGGCATTGGGCTTCAGGTACTCCGTCCGTTGGTGCTCGGGCTCGTTCACCGAGGACGACGACGCCGTCGGCGACTGCTGCACGTACGTGGGGGGGTTCTGCTTGAAGCCCTGAGGATAACTCGGCGTCGACGTCGTGGCTGACGTAGAGTATTCCTCTGGGTTCTTCGACGACTGCAGCTGCGGGTAGCTCGGCGGCCGCTGGGGAGAAGGTTGCTGGTAACTCGGCGACTGCTGCGGGGTTTGCACCAGCGGCGGGCAGGTCGCCTTCCGCTGAGGCGAGGACTGCGAGTAGCTCGCCGCCGGGGCCTGCTGCGGCGACAGCTGCGAGTAGTTGGACGGGGTCTGCGGCGAGTGCAGCGGATGAGAGTACGTGGTAGGTTGCTGAGGCGACGGCTGCGAGTAATTGGTTAATGACTGCGGCGATGACTGCGAGTACGGGCTGTTCTGCGGCGACGACTGCGAATAAGCCGGCTGCGTCTGCGGTGAGTGTTGAGAGAAGCTCTGGATCTGCTGCGGCGATGGCTGCGAGTAGTTTCGCGGCTGTGGCGATGCTTGCGGGTACGAGTTCAACGGCTGCGGCGATGGTTGCGAGTAGTTGGTGGAATGCGTCTGTGGCGATGGTTGAGAGAAGCTCGGAGGCGGCTGCGGAGACGGCTGCGAGTACACAGCCGGCGGCTGAGGCGAAGGTTGAGAGTAATTCGCGGGCGGCTGCGGCGACAGCTGAGAGTAGCCGGCGGATTGCTGGGGAGATGACTGGGCGTACGGGGAGTGCTGCTGCGGCGACGCCTGCGAATAGTTGGGCGGCGCCTGCGGGGAAGGCTGCGAGTACGGAGAGTGCTGCTGCTGCTGTTGCGGAGACGCCTGCGAGTAATTGGCTACCGGCTGCGGCGAAGACTGCGAATAGTTTGCGACCGCGTTCTGCTGCGGCGACGGCTGCGAGTACTTTGGAGTGGGCGGCTGCTGCGGCGATGGCTGTGAGTAATTCGACGGCGGGGTCTGAGGCGACGGCTGCGGGTAGACTGGCTGCATCGGCTGTGGGGAATGCTGAGCGTAGACGGGCGACTGGTTCTGAGTGTTGCCGCCGGCTATCTGCGCCGAGTAAGCATCGCCTTGGACCGCGGCGCTCTGTGGCGGGAAGCTGCTCTGCGGGGAACGTTGCGGAAAGGTCGGCGACATTTGCGGGTACGTCTCGCTGGAGTTCTCCTGCGGCGAGGACTTCTGATACGGCGGCTGATGCGGCAGCGCTGGCGGCGGCGGCGGCGGCGGCGGTGGCGGCAACGGTGGCTGCGGGTGTACCTGAGGATACGGCGGCGGCGGTTGCTGCTCATAGGACGCGGACGATGGGTAAGCCGGTGACAGCGGGTGATTCTGCGGCGACGGCGTGGGCGGCAGCTGCGCGCTGTACCGCGGAGGCGTCGCGTAAAACGGGCTGTTGTAGGGGCTGCTGCCGGTGGACAATGCGTCCTGGTAGAAACCGGCACCCCTTATCGGCGGCTCGTTCGCCGGAACCATCGGCTGGCTCTGCGGCGAACGGACGGCGCGCGACGCCGGTGGCGACTCCTGAGAGAAGCTCGACACGGATTCACTGACGCTGCTGCCGCCGGTACTCATCCGTCGTTGCCTGCCGCAGAACACCTCCTGCAGGTCGCCGTCCTTCTTCGCCGCGACCTCTTCCGCCGCCTCGTCGTCTTTCTTCTTTGATTTTGGCGCTCCGAAAGCTTTGAACCAGGCACTCAGGTTCGGCGTGGCAGACTTTGGTTTCTGCGGCTCCTCTGTGGCTGGTCGGGACTCCTTATCGTCCGCCATCGCCGTCGCCGTCGACGTGCTCGACGTTCCCGTGGCGCTCTTGGCACCCGCTGCTTTCTCCTCCTTCACGCTGGACGCTCGAGACGGTGTGCGCGTGTGATCCTCTTCTTCGTCGTCGTTCGATAGGTTGGGATTCGGCGATGACACCAGGCTCTTGCAAATCAGCTGAATGGAGTCCACATTCTTCAGGACGGTGCCTAGACTGAGTTTCGGCTCCTCGTCGTTGTCCTTGCTCGGCTGGTCGTTATCACTGGCGGCGTAGACCGCGTCGTTGGTGTTGGCGTTGGGAGTGTTGAGTGGTTTCTTCAGCAGCAAATTCCCCTTGCTCTTGCCGGGCTGCAGACGGTTCATTGTGCGCTGTATCTTCTTCGGTCGACTCGGCCCGTGGGGGCCGAATATCTTGATGGAACTCGGTCTCTTGCGCGTAGCTTCCAACTTCGATCCCGACCGGTTGGATTCGACCGGAATGTGAGACATCGGCGAGTCGCTGCCAGACGAGAAACCCGAAAGCTTCGGCGCGTCGTCCAGCCATTTGTTGATATCCTGTTAGGTGACATATGTTTTGGTTAAGTAAATTTAGATTATATAACGATGTTTCGTGATTTGTTGTACGATTTATGAGTCAAAAGTAAATAAACACGAAGAGTTAAATATCGAGAAAAGAGAATGATCCTGCTAACATGGACAGAGAATAACAAATATATCGCGCAATAATATATTTATATAAATTGTATATTTGTTACTGTATATAAAATTGTATATAATATTTATATAAATTGTATAAAAGCACGTGTGTATGTGTGAGCGAGTAAAAGAGTGCGTGTGTCAATATTTAGATATGAACTCTTATAAACTTACATGAAGCGTCTTCTCTGTCGCTTGAGTTAACGCTTGACGCAGGATACTATCGTCTGCTCCTAGTCCTTTGGTATGTTTAACCTGAGCGACTTTCTTATTTTCATTAATTTCCGAGTCTCGCTTCTTGATCGTGTCGTCGTTAAGCGTGTTCTTATCTTCCTTCGTACCTTTCTTTGACTTTGATCGTTTTGCACTATCTTTGTCATTGTCATGAAAAGTACTACCATTTGAAGGCACTTTTTTTGAAAAGACACCGTGAGTGTCGCTTTTTACCGCTTTCCTTTGCTTCTCTTTCTCGTTTTTCAACTTCTCCTCGCGTCTTCTATTACTTATCACATCCTTTAAACTATCAAGCGACTCTAAATCTTTATTACCGATTAATGCGGAGAGTTTCTTGGAGGCGTGAGTATGCTTTGAATCCAAAGCACTTTCTAATTCTACATCTTTGGGATCCGCCTGGCTTTTCAACTCTCCGTTTTTCAGTTCTTCGTTCTTCTGTTTTGATTTCTTCTCTTTCTCCTTCGTATGGCTCTTGTCGGATTTTTCATCAGCCTTTGCTGCAGTCTTTAAGCTCGCCTTCTCCTTCCTGCGACTCTTTTTCGTTTTCACGTGCGAAGATTGCTTTTTATCCTCTTTGAAGACCGCGTCACTTTCTTCCACTTCGATCTTCTTCGCGTTCTTCTTCGTGTTGTCCGCCAGTATTCCGGTTTCCTCCAGTTCCTTCCTTTCTATTTTCCTGCTCTTGCTCTTCACGATCACCAAAGGTTCATAATCTTCCTCGAAATCCTCTTTTCGCTTTTTATTCTCTTTCGTTTCTTTCGCAGATCGCACAATTTCCGACTCTTTCTTCGGTTTGTGCCGATCTTTGCTGGCTTTTTTATTAGGCGCTTTTAATTCCTCCGTTTCTTTAGAAGATAGCTTTTTGGTTTTAAGTAAATTGTTTACATCAACGTTTTTCCGTCTCTTCGACGCTGCTATGCTAGTCTCGGACACTGCATCTTCGCTTTCCTGGTCTTCCTGCTCCTCCTCATCCTCATCCAGCTCTTCCTCTTTCACCTTCTTACCCTTTTTCTTCCCTCGTTTCTTTTTAGCGACCTTGATACTTTTACTCCTTTTCTCATCCTCGTCCACTTTTTCGCTCTTGGACTTTGCTCTACTTTCGGGCTTATATGACTTAGACTTTTTAGTGGATTTCTTCGAACGTTTACGTGCGTTGTGGTGCGAGGAAGATAACAGGCGTGACGGATAAGACGGAGACGTTGGCGTTCCAGCTAACGATCGAGGAGATGTAGCATCTTCATCACTGGACGTCTCTGATTCCAAATAACGATTCACAGCCTTGTCAAAAGCTTCTTTAAGATTAACTGCCATTTCCGTATATTCTGCAATACATAAAACGTATTTCTGTCAAAGTATTGAAGTATTACTCATCAGTAGAAGTGATTTTGGAAGAAACCGAGTAAAAGGATTACATACCGTTATCTGAACCATTGTACTGCCTACAATTATCAACGATAAGTCGGAAGTCGCGCTTAAACTGACTTAAACTCTTGTACGAGCCGCCTTCCAGTTTCTCCTCCATAGTACTGAGATCCATAGGCCTACGCACAACACTATAATACCTGTAAACATTATTCGTCCCATTAGCAATATATTACAAAGATAACAACAAAAGAAGATGAAGCCGTCAACAAGAAACCGTCAGGTGGACGACTAATCAATGTGAAAAAAAAAACCATATCTATAATTATAAAATATATCATGTAACAAATCACACCTTGGTGCATACTCTTCATCGACGGGGTCAATGAACGGCCAGGCGTCCGTATGATCCTTGACACTTTCGAGTACTTTGTGCATTCCAACGCGACGTTCCTCCTCTTCGATCCCGAAGGAATAGCCGAACTTGTACCCATAATTGCACGACAAGTAATTACCATCGCCCTGATTTCCGACACCCTTCTTCTTCTCCAAGTCCTGCACCTCGTCCCTAGTGTGGATCACAATCTGACCAACAGCCGAGGCTAAGGAATTGTTCGTTTGCCGTCCCTTCTTCTGAATCGGCGGAGTCGGTATCGGCGGCGAGGTGTCCTCCTTGGTGTAGACAGCTTTTGAGCTTTGCGTCTCCTTTTTCGCCCCTTTGGTCGTTTTAGTCTTAATCTTGGACCTGACCATGACTGCGTCCATCTGTGTGGTAGGTTCCTGGCTCCGAAGCACTCGCGAGCTATTGCGCTGCAACAGTTTGCGCCGTTGCTGTTTCTCCTTCAAATCGAACAACTTTGGTATTTCCGGCATGAAGTCTTCGGACAACGTACGGTAAAGTTTACGCTCGGTGTCGTATTCCTGCGGAGAGAAGTACCTTGAGCGAACGTCGTCGGTGCATTTTCGCGGCAGTACAATGGAAGTAATCGTTACCGAGTCGCGAAATTTTTCAACCAGTCTGCTCCAGTCTTGTTGAGTGAAACAAACCACTTGCCAAACGCTCTCTCGTCCCTTGCTCTCGTTGTCTATTAAACTAGCTTCCTCCTTCTCCTCCTCTTCCTGTTCCTCCTTCGCCACTCTGTTCCGTCGTCTTTTACGCTTTTTGTCCCGTGGCTTACTTTTCTGCTTGTATGAGGCACCGTTAGAAGTATCAATGTAATCCTCCCTGTACAGTCGAGTGCCGTAGAAGTACCAGTAGGCAGAATTCTTACGATCATGTCCCAAAGGTTCGACTCGCAGGCTATCCGAGTCCAAATTACTTAACGACTGCTCCTGTTATTAACATTGTAACATTAAACAATCATAATGCATTGTCGTGTAATATCTCGCTTAGCTGAACACATACTACGTCTTCGGCGTCTAGCCTGAAGTCACAGAGAGCACGTAGTATTTCTACTTTCTGACGGAGAGGTAATAACTCAAAGTCTACGTCTGTATTGAAAGGATTTTCGCATTTGTATTCCTGTAAAGACGCAGATCTGTTAACAAGGTTCAGCGACTTCGGAGAATTTTGTACCACGGAGCAAGTCCTTTTCTAGAGAAACATACTCACTTGACACTTCTTCCGAAAGAGTCTACGTAAAAACATCTGATAATTAAAGGTAGAGATGTCATTGCGAGTGTCATTTGGCAAACAACCCTCCAACAACTTCACTATTAGCTCCTGAAGCAGTCGTCCCTCGGTACCTCCGTCAGTTAATAAAGCCTCTTCTAAGTCCTACAATTGTGTGACATTAATATTGAAACATGTTTCACCGATGCGATATCCATGGTCAAGGAGGGAACAAAATAGTGTATACAAGCTGATAAATAAAACAATCAAGCTGAAGCGTGACAGCGTGGTTTGCTGTCTAAATACCGAAGCGGTACTAGCAGGTTTTGTATACGCTGCTTACTCGTAAGAGCTAGCATTTAATTAGATACCTCGATATCAAAATCCAGAAGATTGAAGGCAGCTCTAAATAATGAGCAAAAGTGCGCTATACTTGGCACCTCCCACCACGATTGAATGTCTAAAAAAATAAAGGAACAATTAAGAGTTCCTTCATCTTAATCGCAATAACTATTTCGAAGTAATCAAACTAGTTGTAGTTATATATTGTTTAGATTAAATAGCATGTACGAGCCAATGTTTTAATTTATGGCCAATTCTGATTTAACGTTTGCTGTCACATAATTACTGTGTGCAACTTTAACAATTTATTATTGTCTTTAGTAAAGTTGTTCAAAATACAATGAAAGAATTGACAATCCAAGTAGAAATCCAAGCGATAACCATCAATTGCAAGATATTTTTTGTCATAGACACAATTATATATTATAAATATTCATAGATGTGTATTTTTCTTTTCAAAGATATTTTTGATGTATTTTTATCATTTCTCAACATTTTTCCCTTTATGTTTCGTTATACTTGAAACTATATATACTTTTTGGCATATGTATAAGAAAGTATCTCTGGACTTGATTCAACTTGTTCAAACATAAGCAATCACTCACAATGATATTATTTCATTCTATATTTATACATTCATATTACTTCAAGAGTTCTACTCACAGGTTACACAAAAAATGCAAAATATTAAGTGTATAGCTACACAACTTATTCATACACAGGAAACACACACATATACGCACGCACAAACACACACATGAAAAAAGGAGCACACACGCACATGACACGCGCACACGCAGATACTGAAACTCCTGTAAACAAAATTTTAAAGACATTCAGTACTATACAGTTCAAAGAATCAAAGATCAGAGGTGTATGTCTTATTATCCCAGACAAAAAGATGTGACACTATTTCTATCACTGTTAGTGTCTTTACATGTATACGTGTACACACACACACACACACACACACACACACACACACATACATACATTATATATGTAATGTGTATATATATACATATATATATGTGTGTGATATATACATGGCATATATATACTTATATGCCATTAATGAAAAGAGACAAAGCTGAGATATACAAAATGCCGCGATACCGTTCGGTTGCGCATTTTTTCTCTCTCTCTCTCATTCTCTCTCTCTCTCTCTTTCTCTACGCGACAACCGGTGACGGCGGACTTACCTAGGATCCCGATGAAAGTTCGAAACATAACCCGTCGTGTGGCGGGCGAACCGGGCGAATCACGTCAGGGCGGGACAGACACGGTGGAGCTTGACGAAGATCAGCGTCGGAGAGTCGGTTTCGAGTCCGATCGAGTCGCAACGAAACGCGGGCGAGCGCGGATCGCCTTCCTCGGTAGGCCGTACCCGGCGCCGCGGCGGGCGAAAAGGAGAGAGAGAGAGAGGTGACGATGTAGAGGCTCGTACAGCGCGTAGCGTAGCGCAGTCTGTGCGCGCGCGACGAAGAGAACCGAGCAAAACACTTCCGCCGCCCGGCGATGTACACATATATGTATATATGCTATGTATATTTTACATGCATATATGTATGATATGGATAAGTATAAGTACGTGTATATGTGTATGATGTGTAATGTTGGTGTGGGGTCGTGTATGTATGTGTGTGTGTATATATGTATGTGTAAATAGTGTGTGTGTATGTATGTGTGTGTGTGTGTGTGTAATATATATGGGTGCGTGTAATGCCGAGCCCGTATATATTAAAACACCGGGATGCTCATCAACGGTGCACAACACCCGTAGTAGTCCCAGTAGGCGCGAGCGAACGTGCGGTAAGCGCGAGCTCGCATAGCTCGCCGAGCATAACTAGCTGGCTGGGTTCGCTGGAGGGATCGGTGAACGCAGCTAGCGGCTTAGGGCGCATTCGTTTGTATCGCCAGCCGCTCGGCGGGCCGCTCTCTCTTGCGCTCTCTCTCTCTCTCTCTCTCTCTCTCTCTCTCTCTCTCGCGCGCGCGCGCGCGCGCGCCGACGTCGCAGTCGACGACAACGTCGTTCTCGTCTTCTTCTTCGTCGCCGTTTGTCTCACTGATTTATCTGGCCGCGACACGATCGTCGTGCAGTTCGCGATGGATGCGCGCGACACTCGCGGTCATTCTAATCGGGGCGCACGGACTTGCGGATGATCCAAAACACATAACCACCAGCCGCTGTCGCCGTCGCGGCTGCCGTTGTCGCGGCCGCGCGAAAACGAGCTCAGAGCGCCTGGTCCGGACGAATTGCCGATGAAAGACGAGGGAAGGTTGCTCGCTCGCACATTCGGTTAAGGCGTGTGCAATGCTCGGCACGTATCCTCTTGCGCGCTCGACGATACCTGACACGATACGCAAACTCAACTACACTTTACACGGGTGCGGACCAGCACAGACTGTCCGTAGTGGGCAAACTCACGTGCATTCGGCGAGAGCGTGGCGCAAGCGCAATCTGACGGCGGTAGCTGTAAGTTTAATCAATATGGCGGCTTCCCCGCTAAATTTCAAATGTGCCATCGTGTGTAACTGAAGTATGTAATGAAAAAATTGTTCCTAACGCTTGAAACACAAAATAAAAAGTAATAATAAAATAAGTAATAATAAAAAGTAATAATAAGTTATTTTAATACCGACGAATTATTATATAAGAAAAGTCGATAAGTTGACGTTGGTGCATTTTAAAATAACCAATTTAAGGCAAAAATCAACTCTCAAAATAAACAAGCTTAAGTCACAGGTTATTAATTTTTTTGACTCAGCTTTCAACTCATTAGTCATTGTCCCTTCTTTTCCAATCGTTATATTTGTATATAAAAGATATATACAGAGAGAGAGGAGAGAGAGAGAGAGAGAGAGAGAGAGAGAGAGAGAGAGAGAGAGAGAGAGAGAGAGAGAGAGAGAGAGAGAGAGAGAGAGAGAGAGAAAGCTATGCATGGATATGGAGCTGCGCTCGATCCACCCCGTTCTTGTTTGCAACGAGCAACCAATAGGTTCATTCTGTGCGAGCAAAAGGACACGTAACGAACAATGATTGCATCATATCATTGTACGTTATATCCCAAATTTAATTCAGCTTTCGGCTATGTTCTCTAAAATGATTCCGTGCAGTTTGCACAAGAGAGACGGCACAGTGCACTCCACTATCGCGCAACTTCCAGCACGCATCTGCACGTATCAGCAGCGCGCGCGCTACTCAACGCGAACGCTACTATCACGTTCGCAAATTCGCGAGCGTTCAGTCGAATCGGACCATTCGGCAAGGGACAGCGGTCGACCGTGGAAGAATGAGAAGGAGGGCCGTTTCGCGTGTGGTTGTCACACTCATTTCGCACCCCACTGACCGCCACCTGACTGACTGAGCCATCACCGCGGAGCGTGTCTCCGCGTCGTGTTTACCGCAACCGTGAGATTCGCGTTTACAGCTGCCGAAGGAGAAAAAACGCAAGCCAAATATACTCCGTCAAGACTGTCCCTCGGCCGCGGATTCATCTTGTCAGATGAGCCGCCTCGATCTCGTAATTCGATTAACGTGCAACAGCGGAGTAAGTTAGCCCGCGTCGCGCGAGCGTGTATCACTGCTTCCTGTGTCACACAATGCGTGAATAACCCCGCCGTGGTTAAACCGTGGTGCGTACGTACTTGGCTTGTAATGGGAAATGTCATCGACTCGCTCCCGTGACATTTGCTTTGTGTGAAGCTCGCGATATCACTGGCCGATTGCAAAGTGTGATTTTGTGCCGCGTAAATTATCGCGCGTTACGATTAGCGAACGCAAATTTCAGTGACGTTTGTGCAATTTTCTCATATCGTCGAACTTCCTGTGCATACGTGTGCACATTAGAAGTTTCTTTCCCGCTCGAGTAACGCGGTCATCGTGTTCGGCGAGTTGAAAAAGGTGAATTATGCATTCGACTCCTGCGTCTTGTGCGACGATCGTATAAACGTGTTTCACTAACAACATGGAGTGCGATACTTCCGTATGATTTATGATTAAAGGTATATCGCAGCTATCGTACAAACACACACAACACGCGGTAAGTAACGCCTCCGAGTAACGCCTTCGAGCCAGATGCCAAGTTCCTGCATTCGTTAGGATATGACAAGTGTCGTGATTTTGCAGGGAGAGTAGATTCATGAAGATATTAGAAATCCATGTATAACAAATATGTGTTGACGTGTACTCGGACGTGTGGAACTCTTGTGAGTATTTGTTTATCCTATGTTGTATCATCTGTATTTTTATCCTTACAATACAATTTGATATTGTAGCTACGGTGACACTTGGTCTTGTGTCATGCGGAACAAATCGGTTACTCTCATCTTTGTGTCCCTTATCTTATGGGCTGTGGTTACATACTTTATATTTTTGGACCAACCAGTCAGCAAGGACCAGGATAAGGTGATCAATTTATTGTGATATATTATAATCTATTATGAAGGAAAATTTGGAACAGTAATATAGTTGTGTCTTTATTTTCAGGATAAACTGTCAAATCAAATCAGTAGATTGGAAAAGAGAATAAAGCAACAGATAATTATAAATCAAGAACTTCTTGAAGGACTCAATGAGAATAAACGACGTAAAAGTAAGGTTGAAAGCTAATCTGTACAATATATAGTTGGATAGATAAATAGAACAATAACAAGGTGTATATAATTTACTACTTCAGAACAATATGAGAAATCAAGCGCTGCCCAATTGCCAATAGATGAGACAGAGAAGGATAAATATAACAAGCATGAGAACAATAAGGTTAAGAGTATCTTATTGAAAAAGATAGAAGATAGCAATGCCAGGAAAAAGAAACCAACGCAGGATACTAATTTACCTGTAAAGTATTAGTCTAATCTTATAGATTAATCAGTAAAATGTAATCGCTTCAATTATTTGCTATAATAGATACTATAACTGATTAGTCTTTATCAGCTTATATAATGATTCTATCCAATCATTATCACTTCAGTAATTTCCACAACACAATCATAACTTATGAATGCAATTTACAATTTTCTACTTTTTCTGTCCCACAATAGGACGAGCCAGTGCACAATGCTGCCTCATTGCAAAAGCTACCCGATGGATCTCCAATAATAGCTATTTTGGTTGTTTCTTGTAATCGTATTACGGTAGAGCGATGCTTAGATCAATTAATAAAATTAAGACCCAACAAGGAACAGTTCCCAATAGTTGTATCGCAAGACTGTGATCATCGACAAACTGCAGATGTCATAGCAAGATATGGAAATCAACTGTTACATGTAAAGGTACACTGCTGTAATTTTTTATGTGTACAATTATAATCGTTACTTGTGATCTCAATAAGGACATATTTTGTATTCTGTGATAACGCTAGTAATATTGTAATTGTTTCAGCAACCTGATCAATCAGACATTGATATACCACCTAAGGAAAAAAAATTTAAGGGATACTTTAAAATTGCTCGTCACTATAGATGGGCGTTAAACCAAGTATTCGTAAAGCTTGGATACAATACTGCAATTATAGTTGAAGGTATATCCGATAGAGTCGAGTCTTCACGATGCAAATTTCACACAAACAGATATGACACTCGTAATTTTTCTACAGATGACTTGGATATTGCTCCAGACTTTTATGAATACTTCCTGGGGACTTACCCCCTATTAGTAAATGATAGCTCTCTATGGTGTGTGTCAGCGTGGAATGACAATGGTAAAGCCAGCTTAGTGGACGAGTATGCGCCACATTTACTTTATAGAACAGATTTCTTCCCTGGCTTAGGTTGGATGCTTACACGTGATTTATGGCTGGAACTTGCATCAAAGTGGCCCAAATCGTGAGTATATATTTCATATACATATATTATATACATATTTGTTATGTATTATTTGATTATTCGTACATCTTGACTTATTTTGGATATGTTCTTCATGATGTCCGTATATTTGCAACTACATATTCTTTTACTTATGTAGGTATTGGGACGATTGGGTAAGGCAACCGGAACAGCGTAAGAATCGAGCTTGCATTCGCCCGGAAATATCGCGAACAAGAACATTCGGGAAACTTGGAGTCAGCAAGTACTTATTCCAATTTTACTTACGTGTTATATAAGAACATTACAGGGGGATAAATTTGCAAATATATAACTGAAACTGACTCGCACGACTGGACTAAATTCAATCGGTATTCTTATTTTATCATTTTTAGCGGCTTATTCTTTGAAAAACACTTGAAGTACATCAAGCTGAATGAACAATTTGTGCCTTTCACCAAGATGAATCTATCCTATTTGCTAAAAGTAAGAGAATATTTTAAATATGGTTAGAAAATACACAAGGTACCTGTAGAATGCCAAATGCGTATATAATTACTGAATAATTTCCACAGGATAATTACGATATAGCTTTCGTCAATGATGTGTATCAATCGACGGTGGTTAGCTATTCGGAATTGAAGAGCGGTAATATAGTTGCTCCTGGTCCAGTACGGATACCTTATTACACTCGTCAATCATTCAAGAATACAAGCAAGCTGCTTGGTCTAATGGACGATTTCAGGGTAAAGCATCTGTTTGATATGTAGGTCGGTATATCGGTTTAAAGAACATCGTTCAAAAACTTAACACACCGTGTTGCAGAGTGGTGTACCGAGATCTGGATATCGCGGCGTGGTCACGTTTTTCTACAACGGACGGCGCGTGCATTTAGCACCGAGTGCGAACTGGAGTGGCTACGACATTACATGGAGCTAACACATGATTGTGCTCTCGAAAGACTTGTAGATTCCAGAAATAATCCGTGCATTTTTCCTTTGATACGCAACAGACTAGATGAACGTATTGTTTATGGTGAACTGACGATATTTGTATTTATGTTTACATCATAGAACGTATATATATACTCTTGAATATAGAGTGGTGGTTACATTCGTCGTTTTTGAAAAATGTAAGATTTTCTCCGTAAAAGCTATTAACATATTCTTTAATAGGTATATAATAAGTTTGTGATATGTACATGGATGGAGTAAGTACCTCGCGTTGAATCAGGAAGTATCTCGTGCTTCTCAAGAGCAGTATTCATCACTTTTGTGTATATGAAAATGCCTGATAAATTTTATCACGAGAACGTGTTTATGAAATTTATCACATTTACATATGTGAAGTGCTGTTAATGTTGATGAAGCAATACTTTCGATTGATTAATGTATCTTCCAAAATGAGAATATGTTAATATATTTTTGCTCATGCTGCTTTTGTGGCGATAAGTTTTGTTACAAGGTCATGTGTCACGATGAACAAAGTATATAGTTTTTTTCGAAATACTCAATTACCTGTTTACATTTCTTATCCCATTAAAAATATCGTCCATTCTATATTTCGTATTAATCAGTCTCCTCCTGCAATCTGCTTTGGGTTGATTTAAAGGAACTTTTTTTATATAATACTTGGAGATTAAATCTGATTGCAAAAATCCCTTTCAGTATGTAGTAATGTTGACACAATTAGTAAGGTTGACAAACATAAATTGTGATAATGTAATGCTTGATATCTGGATTTGTGTAAGATAAAATAACAATGAACAAGCAAATTAAATCATTTATCTCACTGTTCATAATTTATATTAACAATATTACACAGTGGCAGTTTTATACATTTCCATAAGAAATTAATATTTTTATGGCATTTAGAAGCACAATTATAAATTGCACATCCTCGATTCTCTATAATTGTCTAGTTACCTGAATCAACCTGAATCGCCCGACAATGTAACTTTCACAGCACGACCGAAGTACTAGTGGTAATCCATTGACAGATTTAATTCTTAAACCAGAAGCGATTGTAGTATTTTGACTTTTCGTATGGTTGATCGATCGGAATTCCAGGAACCGGGTCTGGAAACGTTGTTTCTGATGTTTCTGGTCGTGGCCTTTTTGTATGATGTATTTTAGTTTCACAGAAATAACCGAAAGGTGGACGTTCTATATTCAAATTCTTAAGGACACACTCATCCAATGCAGCTTGTGTTTTTCGGCATCTGAGTAATATTCATGTTACATTATGCTATTGTAGTAAATAAATATAAAGTGCTAAAGAGAATAATCAACTTGGATATTTTTCTTTTTATTACTACAATAAAAAATCACTACGATAAAAAATAACATACGGAGCGAATTCCAATGTTCCTGATGATCTGTCAAGACAAGTCATATATGTATTAAAGTCTTCCAGACAATGCTTCTTCAACTTTTTCATAATATCTAGTGCACAAGCAGTCACAGCTTTTCCTTCATTGAGGCAACGACGTGGGTCACCTTCTTCAGATCTGCATAGCATAAATTCCTGAAGAAAGAGCAATTTTCATATATGATGTTTATTTGAATACTTTTCAAGAGTTCTCTAATTATTATAAAAAATTGTACTTTTTGTTATACAGGATATTCTAAAATATTTGGTCAAACATTAATAGTATATTCTAGAGATAAAAACAAATAAAGAAGGTTAGATAAATGTAAATCTGAAAACCAATCATTAATGAGTTGCACTAATTTAAATTTAATTTGCTGACATAATTGTAGGTGAAATATGACCTGACATAATTACAAATAAATTAACATCAAATTTATATAAAAATATAAGGACTGTTCAGAATGACTATCTTCAGCAGCAATACATGTCTCAACATGCCATTTCAGGGATTGCCAGGAATATAGCATTAACATTGGCTAAATATTTTTTAAATATTCTGTATATACATGTGTATTCCCTAACATATCTATATTAGAAAATAAATAAGAGAAAAGAAAAATTTTATATTTAGAAGATTGTTTATCTTAAGATATAATTATACATATCTCATACACAATAAAACTATATAGATACAAACTACAGAACTGTAGACTGTAAAAAGCCAATTAAAGTTTATCACAGGAAAAGTGCTTTATTTGATTTCCAGCACAATATTGTGTATTGTCACACACATTATCATTAACAGTGGTAAATGGGCATGAAACCATGCAATGTCAAATAAGAGCAATAATTGTACATTAAGCTATTTATGAATGGATACATGTCAAACATTATTAGAAGACTCGGTACATCATTATGTAATCCTCAGTGAACAACAAATTAAGGTAAATACTACGTCGTTGCATTGTTGCGACAATCGGTTTTCGCTTGAGATTGTAACTTACATTGTTATACCACTCACAGGCCTTGCCGATATAAACCGATGCAGTATGAAGTGCTGGCCAACTTATTTGGATCTCCTGAACGGTTAGTTCGCTCTCCTCGGGCAGCATAGTTTTCGCCGACGCAGCCATATTTTTTTACAGCGCTACTTCGGCGACGTTTGTTATCGTTTACGACGGAATGACTGATGGCACAAGATTCTCGATACGTAATCTTCCCGCACTCTCAATGCGAAACTACGTACGAAACGAACATTACAAACACGCGAAACTATAAACCCGTAATACAGTAGAGATAAGGTAGTCGAGAAATAATCGATTAATCGAAAACTGCTTGTGGATATGAGCATAGCTCTCGCTTCCCAATGACCGTACCTGTTTTACACAGAAATTGAAAGTAAGAGAAAATGTTGTAAGAAAGAATTGCAAGACAGAAGCACATAACGGCACACTGGGAAGCCGTAAGAAGGAAAATAACGCAGTAAATTGATATAAACAATAAAATCCATTAATATGTTGCGTTTGTCTTGATGATAGATCTGTCATGCAATGTTGCGTGACTTATATTGCAATTTTAAGTACGAGTCTGGCACGAGTTCGTGACGTAATTATCGCATGCGCGTGAGAATCTAATTGTGCGATAACATCCTTCTGAGACTTCACATTGCTGTGATGATATAATTCAATATCGATAGCAGTTCGTGCCGAGATATCGACGAACCTCCATAATAACCTCCATCGACGAAACACTCGCTATTCGATTTCGATCACTTGCGTTATCGTCGACGTGAAATTCGTCGTTATTCTCAAGGTAAAGGAGATTCTCGAATGCAACCACAACAATACGTTGTCAAGGAATTATTATTGATATTGTTATTGCAAGACACTCGAGATATGTCGAGAATCTCGCGCAACTTGTATCGCGCGGTAAGAAACACGGAAGAAACGGAGTCTCGCGATTGGCCGGCTCTTTGAGTCGAGAGTCGAATCGATGCCTCGAGAATCTTGGGCTGCGTCCCGATATTCAGCCAGCACTGAAATTCTATAGTATACGTGACACAAACTATATATTTTCAGTACTAGCAGTGAATTTCGGAACGCAGCCTTGATCATCATGATGGCGGCGCGGCGGATTCGGATTCGGGAAGCCATTGCGTATTTTTCGCTGTTTTTGTCGGCCGCAGGTGAGTTTCACGCGCGAATTGCTGTCGTTTGGAATTCAGATAGCAGATTACACGCGGACGTTGTTGCGAAATGCCTGTAAACAGTCGCCAAAAGCGACTATCTCGCGAAATCTACTGTCGGAAGCGCTGAGTAAAACGGCGCTCGATCGCCGAATTATGGCGGTTCGAAGTTCATATTAGATCGTTGTGTTTTCGAACGGCGAAGGGGAGTCTCGCGTGCGAGTTATCATCACCGGGCGTGCCGAGGGTGAGTTTAACGCGAATATGGCGAGATGTCCACAATTTCCGAAAGGATGACCGTTTCGCGAAGTGAATCGTCGGGAGCGCCAAGCAAAATATTACGCAGCCGCGCCGCATCATGTCGGTTCGAAGTTCGCGATCTCCGGAAATCGTTGGGCCTTATATTTCCAAATGGCGAAAGAAAACATCATATATGTGCGCGAAGTATCGTCGGGAGTGTCAAAAGCAAGTTTCGCGCGTTCGTCGTCGCGAAATCTCGTTGAAGTGTCCCTCAAGTGAACATCTCGCCGTTAAAGAGAGAATCTCGCCGCTGGGAGAACTGAAATGAAGTGTTCGTTGCGACGCTGAGAGTTCGTGATGCCGTGTGCTTTGTGCTTGCGCTGAAGAAACAATCGGTGAGTATTGGAAAAGCATACTTCAAATATCGAGTAATAGTAATATTACATGTTGTAATTTTCCATTCAACAATGTAAGTGTAATATAACTTATGTTGTGAATAATAGTCGAATGGGCAATTGTGACATTCATGTAAAGTTACTGTTATTTGATGTTTACCTCTATTCGTTTACTTCTATTCGTCGATTGAAGTGAGAAACGTCAGACAGTAGAAATATTTATCCTCGGCCAATAAGAGCCGAATGCAGAATGTTGTTATATACGCGAGTATAAATATTGCTTGACCAAGCATAAATATTGTTACTTTTGATTGTGTATCTCAGAGCCGTAAGACAATCGACTTATTTAGAGGACTTATCGCGTTATTTGGGAGCGAAGGTAAAACGAAGTAAACACGAAGTGCTTGTCACGTTATTATTATCAGTCGTACCATTTCTTATAACCACAATAACATTTATATTACATCTGTAATCTCAACACTTAATGTTACACTTAATATTACATTGCAACGTTGCACATACATCTCCGCGCTTAGACATGTATACTTTCTCTCTCTCTCTCTCTCTCTCTCTCTCTCTCTCTCTCTCTCTCTCAACTTCTCTTCTCTATTTTCTCGTTTGATAATTACAATTGACTGTGTTGCCGTACATCAAGTACGTTGTTGAATGAAGCGTCAATGAGAAAGCTCACAAAGCTCTTTATTATCTGTATTGCAATGCATTAGAAAGTCCGCTGTTTTTCTTTTTTATTCGTCTGCTTTATTCCCCCTCCTAACGACGACGAGTTACACGATAAAAGCATACATCTTTTCGCTCGGTATCTTGTTTCGACACGGTGCGTTGCTACTAAAATCTTACACGGTACATTTACAAAGTTTCTATCACGCGCTCTACCTTCCTCCTTCCTCCTGCTGTCATCGCGACAAAAACCGCGGATGTTCATTATCGCGGTAATACCCTTGCACTTTTATTACGACAGAATCTCATCTCGTTCAATATATATAATGTTTTTCTGCCTTTCGCGTATTTATAGTGTTACCCTGTATTATGTGTCGTACTTCGCTCGCTACGCTCCGATTCGATTTGACTTCATTCAAAAGAAGATAGGGACAATACAGGATCAGCAGAGCGTTCTACCCGCCTCTGTAGCGAGGAACAAGTATATCGAGTACATCGCGAAATACGAGATTCGCTCTCGAGATACTTATCTCGTCACGCATTTAATCTCGATTATCTATCGACGCGCAGCGATGCACCGCTCACGCATACGTAACACGCATGATGCACGATAATGAACACATTGAATACAAGCATTCTTGACACTCGGTAATACACGTAGTCCCTCAGCTTCAACTTCGTTGTTTTTTCCGTTCTCTCATACAATTCGCCACCAGTGCGAAAACAAATTGAGGTCGATCAACGAGGCGCGGAAACTCGCGGCTCACATGTATGTTGAAGCTGCTTTCTGAGCTGAAGATTCTCGTCCTTTCGGTTTCCCTTTTATAACTCGCAAAGGTGGCCTAAACGACAAATTTTCTCCGCGGTGCTGTATATTTTTCGCGGCGTATTTTCGCGCGGGACGTAAACGTGTCAAACTTATAACGAACTTTGGAGAATCGGTTTTACGACGCAGTATCCTTTATAGAGTGGCGAGCCCTTTCTTTTAATGTCGAGTTATACAAGCGAGATATTGCGGTTTTATCTGAGCAAGAGCATAAAATGTGTGCGTGTGTGTGTATGTGTGTGTATGTGTGTTTGTGTGTGCGCGAATAATAATATACATCAGACCTTTCCTCTAGTATAACGCGCGAGAAACGTCCCCCTCTCTCGTCGTTACCGCGGCGATGCGGGATAATGAGCTGGAGGAGTGCGGATATGTACTTGTTTTTGACGTCGATGTGTTTTCCTGCTGGTTTCCCGTCGCGACGATGATGACGACGACGACGACGAATTCAGAACTCCGAATGGGGTCGCCTGGCCAACCAGTCGGCGATGGCGGAAATTTCGTGCACCCGATTCTTCAGGCCGCGCAACGCCGGATAGTTGTCCAACGCTGCCGCGCCGAAAATATTCTCGAAGTTTTCCAACGCCACCGTGAACACGAAGTCCGCCCACGTAGTCTGAAAGGCGCGAATCGATCGTTGCGGTTATGCATCGGCAAAGCGAGAATGTGTTCAACTCCAGCGTGCTACACGGCAACGATCAGGCATCGTTCGATGCAAAATGTCAAGAGAAGACAAAAGTCCATTGAATCTTCGTTACTTCTATCCGAGCTTCCTATTTCACTTGTCCTCGCCTGTGACGAAAACGTTAAACCACACGCACGGAGAAGACAGATTGGTTGAATTAACGGAACAATGAACGAATCAAACGCGTTTCGATCGGAGGAGACGCGGATCTCCGCTGCTTCGTGCGAACCAGAAATTCCGTCCCAATAAATCAACCAGTCTCTTCTACTTGTTTTTTTTGTAATTGATCTTAATACATTTGAATAATTACCGTGGAACCCACAGCGTAACCACCGTTCTCAGCGACGGTCTGTTCAAACTTATTTAGGTAGAACGGTATTGTTTCCTTCAGGAGCTTCGCTTTCTTCTCCTCCTTCTTGAAAAGATCCTCCTCCGTGCGATATTGAAAAATAACTGGAAAGTAGACCGCGTGCGGGGCTTCAGTGACTTCCCACCTCTATCAAAGTTCCTCCCGCACCGAGAAAATAAAAACAGGCCGCGGTCGGCGCGGTATCGCTGTAAATATCCGGCTAAATTGCAAGAGCGTAAGAACGACCGCTTGCGGAGTGACTACAATAGCGGCTAAATCAGCCGGAAATAGCGGGCGATCCAATAACCGTGCCGTTAGAATGTCTCATTAAGTTGTCTAATTGCACGTCGCGTATTATTACTTGGAATTATGTCGGCGGCGATCCAATGTGGTATCGTATGCACGTTACATGGGGCATCTCGCGAAAAGCTCTTCCACGACGGTCGGTAGCATTCGCTCGATTATATCGGAACCCCGGTGAAAATAGGTCATGCGAAAGAGGGGGAGAGAGAGGGAGAGGGGAAGAGAGAGAGGGGGAGAGGGAGAGAGAGAGAGAGAGAGAGAGAGAGAAAGACTCATGTCTTTCAGAAGAGCGGAAAGCGGAAGGAGTTTCGCGCCCGTCCCCGCCGCGTCAGAATTTTCCGAGAGTTTTATATCGAGGCGCATTGGCTGCGCACCGCACTCTTTTTCCCTCCTCATCTCGGGCAAGAGGAACCCCTCGAGCTCCCTTCCGCTCGATTTTCGACATCGCGATCGCGGCGGGCGGCAAAAAGCGCGGACGTCATTGACGCTTATCGACCGCGCGGGCCGGCGCTCGCGATGAGCCTGAAGGTTGAACGAACGGGCGATCTCGGAGTTCCGTCGTTTCCGCGAGAAATAAGCGACCGCGGGCGGGAGGGCCGCCTCGTGGGAGATTTGTAACGAGACACGTCGATTCGCCGCGCCGCGGAGATACGATCGTAAGCAGCTTTCGCAGGAGCGCCTGGCTTTGTTACGGGCTATGCATCGGCCCGGGGCGGACACGTATCACTTACATTGTTTCAGGTCCCCCAAAGTATCGACCAGCACGTCGCACAGCATCGATTCCCATTCGTCCTTGCCTGCGAGATTGTGCTCGCGAGCCAGGTAACGCGCCACGGCGTTGCTCTGCGCTATCGGCTTGCCGTCTATCTCCAGGACCGGCAGCATCCCGTAAGGCATCGCTGGGGAACAGAGAAAGCGATCGACAGGTCGAACGCTCGAATGCGAGTCACTCGCGAAAGGGGAGACGGAGCAATTTGTCTTCGATCGATTAGTTTGCGGGCCGGGGGATTACTTCGGGCCTGATTAATTCTCTTAGGCATAAATTACGAGCTTCTCAGCGGCGGAACTTGAGATTTCCGCTCTCTGTTAGCCTCAACTCCGCCTTCTCATTCCACCCTTTCTTCGCGAATCAAAACATCCGTTCTAGACGCGCGGACGTATTTGTTCGGAAATTAGCGTCCGTTTTCCTGCGCTTTGAATGTCCAAGCGTGTCACTTACAAGGAACATCCGCTTACATTAACTTATTTAGTCTGGCACGTCTAAACGTGCTAAATTCAGGCGTGGCTTAAAACCTAATCGGAATTCGGAAGTGAATATTGTTCCAACTGTGAGGAGTTTTTCGTACTTACACTTCTTAAGCTCGGGCCAGCGGTCGTTGGTGATCCTCTCGTCGATATAGTCGATGCCCGCGTAGGCGAATATGTAGCGGATGTGCTCGGCCCGACCTCGCGCATTGAAGTAGATCAATTTGTACGTCGGCTGCTCCTCAGCCATTTCACTCGATCGCCCTTCTGGAAATTTTCGGCTGTATACGAGTGTGTCGGAAAAGTTACGAGCGTAATTTCGGGCTAATTGCTTTCATCGCGCCGGTCTAGTTCGCAAAGGTGCCAGAAACAACTCTCTCTCTCTCTCTCTCTCTCTCTCTCTCTCTCTCTCTCTGTCCGACTTTGTCTCCGTTTCCCACTTCCTTTCCCCGTCGATCTCGATCTCGTCAGACTCGGCAGAGTTACAGACCGATTCGCCGAAATTAGACTAAATTTATACCACCGCCGCTTTTCATTTGGGACTTTATCGTTGCCGAAGCTCCCTTTATCTTTGTGGGTAATCTACGGTAATTCACGATCGCCTATAGATCGCCTCGGATCCCCCCAGCGGAGTCTCTGCAATCTATCCGGAGTATCTTCACCGCAGGTGGTCGACTTGTTTCGGGAGTAACGATAGGGTTGCGTGATTAGGGGTGCGTGAACGGCGAGTTTTATCAAATTTCGGAGATCGGCCCGCTCATCTCCGCCGCAGATAAGGCGAAACATAACTGGCAAACGCGGCCGAACTTCCTGGACTTCCTTGAAAATCACAGAGATTTATGGCGGCGTACACCTATGCGTTCATGCACGTACGTGGGAGTCGGGTATATCTGGAGTGTACTTTGCGGCTATGTACGTTATCTGACCGAGATTGACCACGTTATACAGGTATATACGTATATTCCACATATCGGCCATTTCGTGCGTTATCACAGTTCAAGTTCAGTGTGAATGATTAGTCTCGTTATTATCACCGTATCGCGATTACAGTTGCCGCGGATTCCCTCTGTCGTTTAATTAAGCACAGCCCGACACACTTTCTCGCTCTCGAGGTACTTTGTCTCGCGTTAAAGGTACGTCTCGTTAAAACTCAGTGTCACGTTATATTACACCGTGACTAACAACGATCCTCACTTTTTCCGTGTGGGAGGAACATTAAACAAGAGGCTGCTGTTCATAATTGACAGATACAACGCTCTTAAATTATCGTAAAGTCTAGCCTGTCGATATCATTGTCGCTCTGTGAGGCGAATCAAATTTGAGGCGGGATTACGTAATTCGGCACTCTTGCCGGATAATCCTGTTTAAAACAACGCTGTATAATTCATGTTACACGTCGCAAGTCAGCAAGGTGCCGACTTCGGATGGGGTGGGCGGGGGGCTGCAAGTAAGCCGCGGTTTCGCGTGTTAACGAACTCAAAATGAGAAAACTTCACAAGTTACGCCGACCGGGTGGTGATGTACCTCTGGCATATATTTCCGTCGGGAAGTTTAGACGATAATTATTTGATAATTCCGTTTTAATTTCGTCCATTTAGCGCCTTTCTCTTAGAAGCGGAATCACGATATGCTTTCAAAAGAGAGGGGGCGGGGAGATAGAGGACGGAGAGAGTTAATGAGATTTTTTTTCTAAAGAACTTTCCGAGTGAAAGACTGTAAATCAATTGGGCAGGGCAAAATTCGAAATGAAATTTAAAAACTAACCACCTCGGTTGTGTTACGTGGCAGGAAAATAATATCACTTAATAAAGCAATTATTAAAATGAAATTTTCCTTTTGGAGAAAATATTTTCCCTCTCTCTCTCTCTCTCTCTCTCTCTCTCTCTCTCTCTCTCTCTCTCTGTCACAATTCAGATACTTCCTGATCTGATCCCCTTCTTGTATGAAGATCTTTCGAGAGCAAAGATTTAATTTCCTTCACGCGTATATATCGTTCACACGACCATACAAAGACGTGCTACGACTCCCACAGGAAATTATTTCATATTTGTAATTCTCGCATTAACGAGATTTCCGTAGAAACATTGAAGTTTTCAGTCGCCAGTTTGTTTTTTTTCTATAAAGCATCTTTTTCCCGATACTCGCCGTTTATTTCTATTTTCACACTTCTCGACTCACTCTAATCTCCTAAGGACGAGTGTAATTTTAGAATATGGGGACAAAAAAGAGACAGAGAAGAAGATGTTACGTCCTGTGGACTCCGCGTATTCTAGATTCTTTTATAAATAGAGCGAATTGATTTTATGTTGCTCGCTTCAAATGTTCAAATGTTATATTCAACTAACATGTTCCGTAACCCTTCGAGCACGATGACGTCATATACCAATTTCTTTTTTTACTCCCCTTAGACCAAAGTCCTTTAGTTGTTTGTCGGGAAGATCCGCTGAGTCACTTCCCGGCCTGACCAGTCGATATCTGATTTTGTTAATTCTCCAGAACTTACAGCTTTTCCATGTCCCATCATAAAATATATTACCCAACAACTCTTACTAAAACTAGCGAGATGATGAAATCTCTTATGATACCCCATCCTTTACAATAGTTATTTTAGAGATACTGCGACGCAACTCTAAAATCCCACCTCCGAAAATGTTATTAACAAAATTCTATGTCCACATCTGTACATAAACTTTTGAACCCTGACGCAACCTCCTAAACTCTACTCTCTCAACCGAGATGACATTTTTAATTAAACGAAAAGGTGAATTCATTCTTCGCCTGACCAGCACCCAGATCAGAACCACAAGTTCGGCACTCAGATTGCGAGTACTTTCTGATATTCAGGTATTGAGATTTCAGTCATTCAGTCATTCAGACATTCAGACTGTGACAAGTTAATATCCAGTCACTCGGATTTTGACAAATTTTCATCATTTTCAATAATTATCACGAATTGCTGTGTGTAACGTGCTAGTGTGGGCACTAGACTGATCCCGAGAGATCCTGAGAGGTACACCCACACAAAGTGGCAGCTCTCTTTTCCTGTACAAGCCATCTTGAACCAACAGTAAGTTTTATTTATTCTTTATCGTTATACCATTATTTTATTAATTTCATCCGTTATTATTGAATCCATTTTTAGTGGGTCACAACTATCATACCACTGTGACTATTCAAAGAGTTATCGACTCGTTCGAATCAATTTTTGAAACCAGAGATCCCGCTGCAATAGAATCTAACGCTCGATACCTCCGAGCGATTATCAATATTTCTTTAGAAACTAACTATAACCCAGATCCGTCACTCCTCTTTATACCACCCTACATTCTCCCTCAACGGTCATCCCCTGCTCCTTCCTCTTACCCTGCACGCGCGTCCACCTCCTCGAACCCTTCAATTTCTCCTGTCCCTTTTTCCGAACTGTCCACTCCCCTTAATTCGCCAGACCGCTCTCGTTTCCTCTCACCCGACTAACTTTCTATTCGTATTCTTTCCATTTTTTTTGTTCCCTTGTTCTTTCTACTTCACGCCCACACACACACACACACACACATACGCATACAATCATTCGCGTAACTGTAAATCGTCATATTCTAAACCTCGCCGTTGTACCATTTTGTTTGTTATCCTTATTTTAATAAAATTTGTTATTAATCTATTTTCACCAATTAATTTCAAAATCACCCCACCTTCCAACAGTCGACTCATGGTCCTATCCCCGGTAAAGGGATTCGCGTCCCTGACCGAGAAACGGACCGCTCGTCGTATACGTCAGCGAGCGAGTAAAGAGACCTTACCGTCGGGTTCCTGACCCGTTCCCTGGCACGCGTGTACGAACGAGGTTCGCCTTTCCTGCGAACGGAGAAGTTGCGCTCCTCCTCTAGGACGTAACAAAGATAAAATGAGAGAAAAAGAGGGAAAGAGAGAGAAGGAGGGAGAATTCTAAAGAGATCTATTTAATTAATAGTATAGTTTGTTCCGGTGGTTGGTGCTGGGGATTTGTGTAGAGGCGACATTTATTGATTATTGCTTGGAATGCTCGGTGCTCGATGGTTTCTCCGATAGAAACACGTGGCGGGCAATGTTTCTGCGCGCGAAGTGTGTAACGTGTCCGTTGTAGCGGGTACAATCCAGCGCATTAATTCGCCCCGATACGGCCGCACTGGACGTGTACGAGTCAAGTGAATGTAAGCTATACAGCGCGAATTAATCCTGGATTTGCCGTCGTCCGGTTCCCATTCAACCTACATTTCCTCTCTTAATCCTTTTCCTCTTTTTCGAACAAGGACGATGAGGAGAGAATATCGAGTTAATTTTCCGCTGAAAAAATATGCACGTACGGAATTATTTCCAGGACGGCCGAACACTTCGCCCGTATTTTGCACACTCTCTTTCTTTCTTCCACCCTCTTTCTCTCTCTCTCTCTCTCTCTCTCTCTCTCTCTCTCTCTCTCTGTCTCTCTCCCCTTTTCTCTCTCGTTAATTGCCTTGACGAACGATGATAAATAGGACCGGACACTTCGTCGCCTAACTTGTTGGCGCGAATTCGTTTGATCAAACCGCTTCCAGTACGCGCGTAGTTACGTTGTCCAAATTTAACCGGAGAGGTAGGCGGTTTAACGCGGTTACATGTGCGAGAACAGATATCGGAGTCGAATGTCGGGGCAGGTCGTAAAGGTAACCGAACCTTGGTAACCATATTTGACGTAAAATCAATGGCCCGTATCTGCGAAAACATTAATTCGTCGCGTGGGCGGACAGCTGGAAGGTATAAGGGTCGAAAGAGTATTAATGTTGACGTTGCCAACCCTTAGCAACCGCGTTCTCTCTCCCTCTCCTTCCCTTTCCATCTTCTCTCTCCCTCTCTCTCCCCCTCTCTCTCTTTCTCTCTCTCTCTCTCTCTCTCTCTCTCTCTCTAACCCTCTTTCTCTTTTCCTCTCTCTTCCTATCTTCTTTAACCCTCTTTATCTCTCTTTTTCTCCCCTTCTCTCTCTCTCTCTCTCTCTCTCTCTCGCTCTCACTCTTTCGCGCGAGTTAGCTCGCTGAAAGCTCGCCTTGGCCGCTTTCGGGAGCGGATTCATTAGTCATGCGGGCCATCTCGACATGGAAACGGTCTCAAGAGTTTCGGATGAAAGCGAGATTATAAAAAAGCTCTCCGCAAAACGTACGTCTTATTATCTTGACGTGGAATATCGACTTGGTACGACCATCGCCCTCCTTCTCCTCCGACCCTTCTCGTTTGAGTTTGTCCTTTTGACACGCTTTATTCGGAGGGGAGGACGTACAAAAGTTTCCTTAATGAGACGGTTTTGTATTCGCCGAGGAATCCGATTTCGCATTTATTTCGTCGAGATATTCGACGAGGTATAGTTCGGTCACTACCGAGACTTTCGGGGCTTCGCAGTTTTCCACGACGCTTTTCGGCGGCGCAATTAAAAGTTTTCCCGATATTATGTCAAAGGCATATCGTAGCCTGGAATATCCCATATTATTTTCGAGTTTTATTCTCTTTCTACCGTTTTCTCGTCGTCTTTCTTTTTTCAGCCCCGAGGCACGATAACCGGGCGATCGGCGAACGCGTATAACTAAAGCCCGCCTTTCGGATCCGCGCGTTCATTTATATTCCACGATCAGACGGCGCATAATTCGCAATTTCTCCGAAGTCCCTTAAGTAACCCCGGTGTCGCCGAGTCCTTCATTTTTTCTTCGAGCCCCCGGGGCTCGAGAGGACGTTATTAATTCTCCGAACGTCGCGTCCGAATATAGCGTTTTTCCTCGAGGGGAGATAAACTCCGAATTTACTCTCTTTTACTTTTTCGTCGAAACTTTCGTCGTTGAAATTAACATCCGAGTCCGCCATGTGTATATCCGCCGAACGTACATTTTCCCCTTTGTAGACGCAGCGCGCAATATTAATATCGTTGAGAGCGCGACAAGAACCTTTTCGACGCTCGTAATTCGCAATTTCCTGGGAGACACAACGTAGCGGGAAAGGGCGCAACTGTGTACGCGCGACGACATTTCTCGCCTTCTCTCGGAAATCCCGGATAAAAGGTGATTAATACTCGACGCGAGAACGCCGTAAATACGTCCATTCTCATCCTTTTCTTCGGCCTGCGTACAAACCGAGGTGGTATCGGCCTTGAGCCGCGGAGACGGAGTTCATAAATTGCAGTTCTCGCGGAGAGTCCCGGTCTCCGCGCGAACGATGAAACTTCGGTGCTTCGGCTTTTCGACGATGCGCGATCCCCTTCTCGATAAGAGGATCGTCAGCCGCTTGATGCGATGCCAAATTCGATATCGGCTGCATTATGAGAATCAAGTGCGCGAGAATATGCACGACGGTATATATATATCCCTTCTTCTTAGTTATCGGCCCGCGCGAATAGCACTTGGAGAATTCCCTATCGAGTTTAAATTAAAGCGAGACTTTGCCAATAACCGCGGGCGCGAGTACTGCTTATTATAATCCCATCCTCCTCTTTCTCCTTCTCATAATTCGAAACTGCGAATTTCTCATTATTCTCAAAGACACAGCTGGCGAACACGAAGTTGAAAATGAACGCGTATAAAACGGGAGAAGAATCGTGCAAAAAGAAAAAGAGAGAGAGAGAGAGAGAGAGTAGCTCTTGCGCACGACGTGATCGAGAGTATTTAATTGCAACATACTAATTGCTTCTCGGTAGATTCAGATAAAGGAAAAGACGTCGCACGAAGTACACGCGAGCGCACGCGGAAGAAATGAAAAATGCCAAAGTACGTCGCCGGATTCAGGTGCACTTGACATGAATCTCATATTACACATATAAATCGACACACACACACACACACACACACACACACACACACACACGCACACACACACGCGGTGTGTAGCGGTATCGTGAATTTATGAAATGATCGATCCGTTCGCAGGCTCGTCCGAATCAATCGCGGGAAATTCGCGAATTTCTCAGCACTCGGCCACTCACCACCCAACACGGGTTGTGTTGACGCACTAAGAACCGCGATTAAGAATCACAGAAAAATCGTGGGCTAAACGCCTTCGCCTGTGCGAAATTAACTCGCGCGAAATCGCGAAATCCCGATACGCACACACAAGCAGCGCGACAAATCGTTTCACGTCGCCGTGTTATTCGACAAAGTCCAACGAGCGGCGCGCACGAATTCGTAATGCGAGGAGAGAGGCGCGGGTATACGAGGCATGCACTGCGGAGAGTATTACGTCGAATCACTCAACGACGAGCCCGACGTGTGGACTCACCCGAGCAGAGCTCGTGCCGACCGCGTCGACGATCGCGAGGCAAATTTCAAACTCACCCCGCGCCCTCGTGAAAGTCCCGCAACCCCCGGAGGACGAGCACTCGTGCGCCGGCACGGAGCGTACTGATGTCGTACGAATGAGATCCGACAGGAGGACCACCGGTTTCCTTCGGCACCACTTGCGCTCTGCCGTACTTCGGCACCGCCGAGTTTCAGGCTCCACCGAGCACGATGCGCAACCTCAGAAAATTTATACCACCCGCCAGATTCCACCCCCATCCGCTCCTCGCGCGCGCGAGGTGGCTCGAAACTGTCGCTCCTGCATCCACCTAATTCCCGTCGCGCGCGCCGCCGGATTTTTTTCCGCGCGATCCTCTCGGGAGCTAATTGGAATTGCTGTGATTTTTTTCGGAGTCCCAGAGAGAGAGAGAGAGAGAGAGAGAGAGAGAGAGAGACACGCTTTTGATCGCTTTGTACGCTGCAAAACTCGCAACGCTGTAATGAGACGCGCGCGCAAAATAAGCACGAAGGAATGCGGATGCCAAAGGATTCGCGAGAAATTACGTCGTAATTTCTCATCTCACGCACCGCGGGGAAAATAAATGCGAGTTGCGCGCGTGTCACGGTGAGTGTACACGCAACGTCTGTATCTGGCGATAAAAATGTCGTGTGATTCCGACATGTTGTCGATGTGTCGCACACAACGTTGGTCCATTATTTTTCGCACGACGCTCCGGCGCGCGCGATTTTTGTCCGGCACAGGATTTCCATGTAATCCTATACACCCGATGAAAGAGTCACATGAACAGGGGAAGCTGACTGTACGTTAAATGTTATGTCGTGCTTGGGTCGGTTAATTGGTCAGACCAAGCTAGTTAGTTTCATTACGTTACCTCCATCTTCGTGGGTTTCGCACAATGGACGGCTCTTCCAATATCGAGGCCAGTAGGTTAGGTCTGTTTGTAACCTAGAAGTTCTTTGCTGCAAAAACAGCAATATTACACAATGGACAAATTGCACACCAATACCAAGAACATTACCAAGAACGTTAACGAGAAAACTTGTGATGTTTTTCTAACGTTTTTCGAAATTGCTCGCGATAAGATAAAAAATCGATTAGTGAAATAATTCTATGGGGAGAGATAACAATTCGTTTCTTTTTCCTTTCTCGACACAACAGAGACGCGCCGAAATGTTCTCTTTAACTCGTTGCGAAAGGAAAAGGAGGAAAAGAGAGATAAGAAGGAAATTCAGCGAGAGTCGTCTCGCGCCGACGCGCGCAGGTTCGCCGCGGTTTCTCGCGAATACGATTGCGTGAACGCGACGTTTCCACGGAAGAATAACCGGGGCCGTCTCGTTAATAGACCGCAGCCATAAAGTGGCAAAGAATTGCCGGCGTAAGTGGCGTCCGTGCCCTGATCAGAGCGGCAGGCTCTCTAAAATGCGTCTGCTGACGCTCGCGTGCATTTTATTATAATGGTACGAACTAAATGACGGAGTTTAGTGCAAGGTTAGCCGGCGATAAGCGAAGCTGTCGAACGGCGCGCGTTCTTCCACAGTCGAAAGAGAGCCGCTTGAATAAGGACACGTAGTACGAAAGAGTGCTTTTTTATGACGTAAGTGCGCACGGTCGATCGTTGTTTCGTTCTTCCGGCCGCGAGAAACCGACCGCTCTTCGACTTCGGTGTGTGTTGTCTCCCCGCGCTCCGTTCGTTCGCGAATATATATTTTGCCGGCGAAAATTTTTCGGCGCCCGTCGCGCCGCGCCGCGCAGCTCGCGCGCGGATTTGCGAGATCGCAGAATTTACGACGTGCGATAAGGAAGTGGACGTTTTTCGTGCGAATAACTCTGGGAAATGTAGCGCGCACACAACGCGCTCGGAAGCGCGCGAGCTTGGGTTAATCGGCATGACAGCGTGCTAACTACGACCGTTCTTTTTTCCCTGCCTCGACGAATGAAAGCCGAATTAAGAGTTCGTTGCGAGAATTCGCAAATTCGATTTCAACGCGCGAGATGATAACGCCCGCTGTTGCGCTCGCGCATTCCCGCAGTTTGCTCTCGTCGCTGACGTGAAACTTTTTTTTCCGCGTATTATTCCGACAGATTTGACGCGACTCGCTGAAAAAGCCGTGACAATGCACGCAAATTGCCACTTCACCGAGCATCCATCATCGTGACAAGCAAGTAATGTTTCTCTTTTTTTCGCATGCGCTACTTATTGGTATCTGGTATTAATCGGCTGAAACTTTGCTTGACTAATGTGAGCCGAATTGACATCGAATAAATATTGATTACACGTAACACGATTGCTTCGATCGGTTACTTTGATTTGATTTATCGTACACTGAATAGCAATTAGTTTGACCGATCGATTAAATTATTCGCAATTCCATGTATGACGGTTGATTAATTTTCGACTGTTGACCCACTGATTATTTTAGTCAATTAAAATCTTCTAATCGGTCGATGCTCAACACTGCGCGCACTGTATATTTTTAATTTACAAAAACAAGACTCCGAGGTATCTGCTACTTTACTCGCTGTATGAATGCCTCAATAAGAGATATTGTAAAAGACAAATTGGTCTCTTTACGAAACCTGATTTCGCAAGCCTGATAACGTTTTCACCCCTCCCCCCCCATCATCAAGACTAAGAGATCCAAGACTCGCGTTGCTCTCGTTTGTGCATTCTTAATCAGTTTTATCAAGACGCGTCTAAAGAACGGTCTTGATTGAAATCTTTATGACTATGTTTTATCGACAAACTTTGTGTGCAATATCGCGCGCGGGTATCTTTCAAACAGCTCGTAAGTATAACACTATAAGCGCCGGCCATAATTTTTCGTTACTGTTTGTATTTTTCGAGCTTATGGCTTATCGAGCTTATGTGTAGAATTTTGCTATTAATAGAAAGTAGAGAAATAAAGACGTGCGACTAAGTTGATCGGGTCGCTATGTATTTATATCTCGTAAAACGAGTACACATTATTGACGAAAATTCTCACCAATCGTATATCAGCGTAATAATCATAATAATGATCAGGTACGATTATCAGATATCATTTAACGAAATTTTAGACACGCGGAACACATACACATATCTGAAATTATCAATGCGACGTAAGCGGATGCAGCGCAAACTGATTCGCGATTAATTGTGCCCCGTTATGCTGCGTTCGCGATATTATCGCTTTTGGAAAAATTTCTCAAAGTTAAGAGAGAGAGAGAGAGAGAGAGAGAGAGAGAGAGAGAGAGAGAAAGAGAAAGATATTGAGAGCAAAGAAGAAGTTCAGGAATCGACGTTGCGCCGTTACGTGCTTAGTAGTATACTACGCGAACGCGTAGTATAAGAAATTGATCGAATTAATTGTAATAGGCACGTAAGCTTGCAACGTTTCAAGAGAGCGAAAAGACAGCACGTATAGACGAAGAACGTCTTTTAAATGTTCGCTTAAGGAATCGTGTATTAACGTCGTTCTTAACATCGAATGAATGAGCGAGCGCCGCCACGATAAAGGAGGAGCGTTTGAGCCGTTATCAATGGGGTGTAGCATGAACTAATCGTTCTAGCAACTACCGTGCAGTACATGGAAGGATATTGCGCCGCTGCAATTGCACTGTGTGCTTACCTGGTCGCTCTTATATTTCATCGCACCGCTCTTAAACTTAAAGTATTGATATGGCCGCTAAGTATCGCTATTAGAGTAGATAAAACTCAATTACTGCTTTCTTATAAAATGACTTTGTAATCGCAAATATTCAGTAGGCACACGCACACACACACACATACATATTGATGCGAGCTTAGGTGACATAAGAGCGACCAGGTAAGCACATGCGCAATTACAGCGGCGCGGTGTTCTCTTCGGGAAGGAACTTTGGAAAGAGAAAAAAATTTTCTCGGGAGTTCGCGCGGTGTCTTATATATTTCATCGGTCATTCGCGGCAACAGGAAGGGTGCGTGAGGAAGGGCGGAGGGTAAGTAGGATAAATTGAGAAAATTAATCACAATCTCCACGTAGCTCGGGTTGCACCATTGTCCGACGGGCGCGCGTCCCTCGTGAACTTCGAAACTGGGTTGCATAACGTTTTGTACGGGAGAACGTTACGTATGCTTGCCCGGAATTGCAGTTGGCAGCATCGAAATGCAGCGTGTCGGTCTGCCGTTGAATGAGGAAAATGTAACTTAATCCGATTCACTCGCGCGCCGAGGGAGACTCGACACATGTGACGTGGCATCGGCGTACGTAGGGAAAGCTAGGACGACGCCGACATGTCGACCGGGCAGGGGCATCGGTTGAAGAATTCCTCGCGTGAATGCCAGTTGATTTCCTCTCGCCTGATTTTCATTCGTCGCCATGTCCCTGTGATTTCGAGACTACTGCAAAACTATCGTCTCAAATATATCGCGTATATATCTGTAAAATGGATCCTATTAACTCTAAATTAAATTGTCGGCTAAATTAAACATTTAACGTTTTCCTACGTGAGAGATTTGCATTAGAAACTCGAAGAAATACACATACACGCATATAGAGGCTGTCTCAGGTTTTAACGATCAAACTGTGTCAGTGTGTCTTATAGATGACAATAAAAAAGAATGTCATCTATATGTATATCCGTGCAAGCTTCATTAGAAAAAACTGAAAAAGATCAAAAATAGAAATAAAAATTGAAAATATTTAGTTGTTTTATCGGCTCGTAGAATTATTTGTAAAAATTAATTATTTACCTGTACCGTACATGTGTAAAATTGTTTTATATATTGTTTTAATATATGTGTGTATATTTTTTCTTTTTTTATATATTGTAATGTTTTATATATTGTAATAACATATTGTTGTGTACGTACATATTGTTTTGAATAGAATTGTTTAGATAATGTTAAATAAACCCGTCGCAGTTGTCGGTCGCAATTGTTGTGTAAACGCGGATCTTTATATCAAGCCGCATGTATTTTTTTAATGACTGGTCTATAAATTGT